GAAATCATCATTGGCAAAATACGTCGATACCTTCCTAACAATTTAATTTCTATTACCCACTAGCAAACTGATATCAATATATCACATTCTAATCTCTACCCTCTTCCTGCAACCCATTGCCAACCTTGCTCTAGATGTCATCTTAATTCTGACAGAATTAGCAATACCTGTACAATTAATATATCTGCTACAATATCTACACAATTTTTTGGCAGAACCTCCTCTTAACTACTTAAATTTAATGCCAATTATTTTGATCTTATTTATTCTACTGCTATTAAACACCCACTTTCCATTCTCCCACCCTCTATTCCAATTTTCAACTCTACCATATCACATATTTTTCAGTCTGAACTTTTAGCTGATCAACTTAAATAATTTTATAATACTAACTCTGCTCAATCACATTTTAACTTCTATACTGATGGCTCTGTTATAGAAATAGGCTCTAGCCAATGCACTATAGGTATTGGCTGGATACAACTTGATAATGATGATCATATTATACACAAATTCTCAGCAAAAATATACTTTTAGCCATCCTCATATAAAGCAGAACTTTTTCTATCTTATTAGCTATCTCTACAACTCCTTGTAATTTCACTATTAACATCTATACCGATTCTTAATCTATTATTTCAAAATTTTTCAAACTAAACTTCTCTTCTTTTAACCCCAACAAACTTTTTAAACTCAGTACCTGGCCACTTTGATATACACTTTTAAACATAATTAAATCTTTTAATCTTTATATTAATTTTCATAAACAGTCAGCCGTGATGTCATGCAGATCATTTTTAATATGGTGTCAAATGATTGACGCACCTAAATTTTATATGTACAATTTTGAAAAATTTTGCATTCCAGGTTTATTTAATAATAAAAAACTTGTCTGCTTAATTTCTAGATATCATTTGCAGATTATCTAGCATTCGAAGGTTCTTCTCATAAAATTTCAGGGGTGATTTAAAATAAAATGGAAAATAATCTTGATCACGAAGTTAGCCTATTTTTTTACGATTTTTACTATTTGTTTATAAGTTGTGTACATCGTTTTACCAAAATAAGTAATCAGGGACTGTCATTTAATAGACGGCCCCTGATTACTTATTTTGGTAAAATGATGTACACAACTTTATAAACAAATAGTAAAAATCGTAAAAAAATAGGCTAACTTCGTGATCAAGATTATTTTCCATTTTATTTTAAACCACCCTTGAAATTTTATGAGAAGAACCTTCGAATGCTAGATAATTTGAAAACAATATCCAGAAATTAAACAGATGAATTTTTTATTATTAAATAAACCTGGAATGCAAAATTTTTCGAAATTTTACATATAAAATTTAGGTGCATCAATCATTTGATCCCATATTAAAAATTTTACACACGTAATCTGCATGACATCACGGCTGACTGATAAATAAGATAATAGCTTTAGAAATTAAGTAAAATTTACTGTAGATTTTCATTATCGATTTTATTATTGTTCATATAGATAGAAAGCTTGTTTATGATTAATAATTTAATTTGCGCTTGTCTAATCTGAGATATTGTCATAGAAGTCTAGCTTTTTTGATCTTCTAACCAGTTATTTATAGCAATTTTACAAATTCTATAATTAACATTAGCAGTTTATTCTTGTTTGGTTATCTAAAAAAGGTCAGCCAAAAAGACTTGATGCATATGATATATTCTATGGATATGGTTTTGGATATACACTAATCAAATAAGGCAGGTATTAACTTTAATTAAAATATACATCTAATTATATACTAGCTGGCAGTTTTCTATCTGCATAAACAGGCTAGCTATTAAACAAAGTTTTTATTGTTTAACATCAGCCTATCTGTTTTGTATAAAACACACTAGCCATAATTCTAAATAATTGCGAAAATAGCAAGAATTTGAGAAAAAAAAAAATTAGGCATGAATCTGGATTGTTATTACAGGCAGAACTCCTGCTCTATAGCTCTATAGATTATTTTTTTACTAGTACAATATTTTGTTTGTAATTGCGTTAAAATTTTTTAATTAAGCAGTATATAAGTTGTTGAAGTTAGATCAAGTGTTGCTCTGAGAATTTTCAGAGTGTATCAGTGTTTTATCACTTAAACTATCATTCCTATCCTTTAATCACTCATCAACTTGAGTATACAAAAGCATTGTTTTTATTAATTTTTGATTAACAAAAATCAAAATATCTATTATATCTGTATGAATTAAAGCAGAAAATAAAGTAAAAGTAAACTGGATTGGTGTTTCCGTACCTAAAGATATTATAGTAAAGCAGTTTTATAAAAATTTTATTGCAGGAAAAATTGTTTCTAAAGTGCAGTTGAATGATGAAGACTGTTTACAACCAGTTAAAGTAGAGTTTTTCAAATAATACAACTGGACCTTTTAATGTTGTTAGTATGAAATATAATATAGTTAAGGCAATCGAAGCTTGGGAAAACAGAGTGCAATATTATCAAACAAATCACCAAGCATCATTATATTCTGAAACACCAATTAATATTTTTTTACAAATGATGAATGATGCTACTAGCTTAAAACATTTACAAACTTTTACTATCTCTGAACATTCAAATTCATTAAAAAAGTTGTGATATAATATTGTTGAATGGATTCGTGAAAATAATGGTGGATAGAGTAGGGATACTGCAATAACAACTGGAAAAAAATTTGTCAAAGATTTAGCTGCTGCATTATGGTATGTAGATAAATGTGATCCAGAAAAGTTAAAAAGCTGAAGTTGTAGTATTCCTGTTGAGATGGAACAGTTTATTGGACACTTTGATATTACTCGTTTAAAAAAAATGAGAGAACAATTTGATACAACTATACTTGCATATTATTTAAATATTCTTTTCAAGTATACAAGATCTGCATAGATTAAAAAATCTGTATTTTGCTGGCTTATTAATCTTTTAGAAAAATTGGCTACAAATTTGTCTCGATATCAAAAAAGTTTGCAAAAACAATTGATAGTTACAACACAAAATCATCTTTGCTTTGAACTAGTTAAAAAAAATAATAGTTATTTTACTATTTTACAGCCAAATTTGACTAAACAACCTCATATTATTAATTATTATCAAATTTTAGTAGATTTTTTTGAGCAAAATAATTTTTGGAAACCAGTAAATATTGAATCATTTCTTTTAAGTGAATCTATATAAGTAAATTAATAATAATTTTAATATTATAAAATAATTTGTTCTAATTAATTTTATTAATAGGTCAAAGCAGTAATATATTAAAGAATTAGATAAAGGATTACCTTTTAAATTAGCTCAATATATTCATAACAGTAAGCATAGTCTTTAGTAATATATTTATAGCACATACCTTCAACTATATCTAATTCAGAAATAGTATTACATAATTATGAAATAGCAAAATCATTAGAAAAAGATATACTTATTTATCATTATGAGCTATGTGCAAACTTTGGCGATCTAAATGTGAAACTTTATTAGGCTCAGTTAAACTAATGACATTACGTTTGTTATATCGTGACTTAACTGGTGATTTTGCAGTAGCTGAAAATCAAAATGTAAAAGAAGTTGATAATTGAATTAAATTAGCTTTACAAGTTAGTGATCCAAAAATTATTACTGATTTATGTGAACATAATTCTGGTACAACAGCATGCTATGAAATATTTTGGAAAGTTGCACAAGATTTTCTTACTAGTACTGCTGATTTATTGCTTGCTATTGATGATTGTAGACATAGCTCAATAATTCATTTGGCAAGAGCAATTTCTGTTAATAATTTTATATAACAAGTAGCTAATTATTATCTATCTGAAACATTAATTCCAAGCACTCAATAGGTTCATTTACAATTTTGGCCCAAATCTTCTTAAAATTAAATGCATTACAATATACTGGTCAATTAAAATTAAAATTTATAATTCAAGCTAGACAATTGCGTATAAACCATCCTGATGCACATTATACTTCAGCACTTTTTCAATATCAAAAAGAATTAGCAATAAAATTTTATGAATATTGTTTATTTTATTTACTTAATAACAAGCATCACTATAAAGTAGGTGAACCTGAATATCCAGTAGCAGCAGTAGAACGTGAAAAACATGTATTAGTTGGTTTAAATGAAACTTTTTTAGTTAGTGATCATGATTTTACTAAAGTTGGAATTATTCTCAGTATTATAATGAAATGCTATATATCAGAATCTATTAATAATTCATTTTATAAAGGTGTGTACTTATAGCATTAAAAGATCCTGTATTTGAAGTATCATCTCCTTTATGTCATTCAACAGAACTTTTCTATATTATTCAAAACTATAATACAAATTTAACAATTTTATTTTTATATACAGATAAAGGACCTGATCATTGAGTTAATTATTTATTTGTTCAAATCTCATTTATTTCTCTTTATTTATCTTTTGATCTTGACTACTTGGTAGCTGTAAGAACACCTCCTGGATATTCATGGAAAAATCCTGTAGAAAGAGTTATGACAATATTAAATCTTGGACTTCAATGTGTTAGATTAATGCATAAAAAATGTCTAAAGAATTTAAACAAATATTAAAACACTGTAATTCAATTAAGGATATTAGAAATGCAACTAAAAATTATCCAAATATTCAACAAGAATTAAATGAAAGTTTACAACCAGTAAAAGATCTTTTAAATAGTATTTTTGCTCATCAAAGTTTAAAAAATGAACCATTTACAACAGTAAATAGTGCAACAGCTGAAGAAATTGATCAAATATTTGATGCTATTTTAGAGCTAGATCAAACTATATTAAAAACTGATAAAACCTAGAAAACTATTAAAAATAAGGTAATAATTTATAATTATAGTTAGATCTCTCAAAATGCATTATAATAAAACTATATTTAAAAATTAAATCAAACATGCATTTAAAAGGTATAGTATTTAAAGAAATACAAATCTATAAATGTTATATTATATTAAGCCTATAAGAAGACATATATTTAGAAAGGACATGCATTTAGAGGGGTCTAATTGTATATTATTATTGTTTAATATAGTATTTATTTATTTATTTTATTTATTTATTTATTTATTAGACCAAATTTAAAATATTTTTTAAGCATTGTTGTCAATCAAGACATTATTTTTTTTCAATTAAAAAATGTGGAAATGAAGATTGTGATATTTGCAAACCTGTAAGGTTTTCACAAAATATTTTTAATTCAATCTATCATTTTCCTGATCCAATTCTTAGATACAATGATCATTATGCTTCTTTAAATAAAGTATATGGTAATAATACTACTGAATATTATCATCCTTCACTTGCAAATAATAAAAATAAAAAAAAATCTCAAGTAAAATTAAAGCCATTTAATAGTACAGCACAAAGAGCAAAAAATGTTAAAATAGCAGTTATGTGTTCAGAATGTGAATGTGGGCGATTATTTTACTCTAAACAAAAATTAAATAAGCAAGAAAAAAAGTTATTAATTGCATATTTAGATACTATTGATTATTCATGTGGTTCATCATTTTATAATACAGAAAATTTATTTGGCTTTCAGAATGAACAATCAATTAATAATAAATCAAATAATAATACTAAAATTGAAGGTGATTCTGAATTAATTACTAAATCAAAATTAAAAAATAAAAAATGTATTAGCAATAAAATTGAATTAAGTAATAATGAAAATAATTCTGATTATGATAATTTATTATTAAATCAAAATGAGGCAGACAATTTGCAATCAGATTCAGAAATTTGGAACAATTTATTTTATAGAAGTACTGATATTAATAGTGAATTAGCAGATAATAATAAAAATGATGATTACAATAGTTATGAATTATATTCTTGCTATATAGTTTTATTTTATTTGTATTTTTATGAATTGTAGTAACATTCACATTAGTTGATTAGTCAGCTAGTAGTTACTATTACCCAATAAAATTATTAATAAAGATATGAGAAAGGCCTCACCTTAATACCAAAAAAAAAAAAAAAAAGTTATAAATTAGCAAATAGCAATGAAAGTGAAGATGATCTTAATGAATTTGTAGATAGTGAAGAAAGTGATAATTCTGAAGCAAAAAGCTTAACAGAATTTGAATTATTGAATGCGAATAAACCAACAATTAAACAATTATTTGAAAAGGTGTTTGCTAACTTGTAATTCTCTAATAGAAAAGGCATATTATTCTGCACAAATCTTTTTACTTTTATGCTATGAGTGTGAAGATACTGATATTGTTATTCCAATTCTGGCTACTCAATATCCATTGTGTACTAAATATACACAAAAAGGTAGCAAAATACCAACTCATGGAAAATCTTTAAAATTTACTGTATATATTCATAAAAAGAAAAGTTTAGTATAATATAAAATTAAATCAAATATTTAAATTCTAATTAAATTAAACATTAATATTATTATTTTATTATAGATGACTTAGTGATAATCTTAAATAAGTTTTTTTATTTATCCTCAAATGCTATATATTGAACAATTTACAATATATATATTTTGATTAGTTAATATTAGACTTTTGAGTTATATTAAATAAAACTATTAAGTATCTTTGTTTTAAAATATTTTTTATTTGTAAAATTTGTTGGCATATTAAAAACTAACTTCATATAGCCTAAATTAATAGACCTATATACACATCTAAAATTATAAAAAAGTTAGTTTTGAGTTTATATAACACAAAATCCAAAAGTTGGATTAATAGTTGGTCTTTTTTTTATTGACTCTACTGGATAATTTAAGGGAATTAAAGCCTTATCGGGTGATATCAAATAAATCTATGTAAAAAAAATAAATAGCAAGACTTGAATAATTGAAACAATTGGAATTTAAATGGGTTGACAGATTATGCAAAATTAAAATTTAACTTGCGTAGCCTTAATTAATAGATTCATGTTCACATATAAGATCACACAAGTTAATTCTTCAGTTTGCATTCAGAAAATTTTGCTTTTTTTTTTATTGGATCTATTGGATAATTTCAGAAAATCAAGGTCATCATCGGGTGACACTGGTAAAAAAAATTAAATGGCAAAAATGGAATAATTGGCACAATAGAAATTTAAAAAAAAAAAATTTTTTGAAAAAATTGGGTTAGCGGGTTATGCAAAATGCTTTGCGTGGCCTCTTAGTTTATGAGTCACTTAAAGAAGAGTGGGACGTCATAGCCAGCCTTTGCCACAAGGTAAGCAATAACAAAATAAAAAGTAACCTCCTCTATTGAACAGAAAACCCTTAAGTATTCTTGCATTTGCATAAACAATTTCAACTTTTTTACATTATGAAAATATGCTAAGAAACATATAATTACTCTTTTTATTTCATTACTTGATTCTTAATAACTATAGCAATTCAATTTTAATAATCAAATATAAACCAAAAATATCAGCATTTTACAGATAATATAAACCATAACACAAGATAAAAACAAATTGAACATGTAATTTAATAGTCATCTGATCTGATCTCGCAATAATGATAGCTTATTGACAAGCTTCTCATTTATCTGTAGCTTTTAAAATTATTGTGGCAGCTTATACTGAGATTGGCTTATGCTAAGAATTTGACTTATTAATGATAATAATATTTTACTTGATGTTTATTTTCTGGGTACTTTCTAGTTATTTCTAAATTTGTTTAAACTTACTAATTTCAATTTGTTGCTTAAGGTTTTAGTATATTCTTGTGAGCCTCCACATTGCCTATTTTATCTAAAAAGGAAATTGTTTATTCCAGCATTTTTATATATAGTACTTGTGCTTGTACTTAAGTATTACATATCAGTTCTGATACTGTACCCCCAAAAATTTTTATCAAATTTGTGTTGTATTTATAGATAAAAAAAAAGATAGAGCTTCGCATTTTTTTAGGTAAATATTTGCTTTTTTTTTATTTAGATAAAATAACGGCAATGATTCATTATACATGAGTTAACTGTAGTCAATTCTATATATTAAAACTCTAGTATTCGTCTATCATGCTATTGGCCAATCAAAATGTTCTAATGTATAGTGTGTGGCTGGCTTAACAAACAAAAATAGCTATTATTATTACTGTTTCTGATAGGTTACTGAATTTTGTTCGATATATTTAAGAAAATTATTCAGACTACAGTTGTTAAGTAAACCACCGGTTTATATTATTGGTAAGTTTTGATGTGATACTTGAATATGTGTCAGGTTTATAGCGCAGTTAAAATTCTTCAAAGCTTTTTTAGTTAAGTCTAGGACTTTTATTGGGTTAGAAGTTATGAAAACATGTAGTAAAATTAATCAAGAAAAACTTTTTGTTAGTGTGTAAAGAGTAGTTTTATATACAATTTTTCAAGAAATAAGCAATTTTTAACAAAATGGCCATTCATTATACTATTGACCAATCGAAATGTTTCAATGTATAGTAAGTAGCTGGCTTAATAAACAGAAATGGCTATTATCATTACCATTACTGGATTACTGAATTTTGTTCAATATATTTATCTATCAATCTATCTATCTATTATATTAAACACTAATGTCTGTTAAACTATTGACCAATGCATTTGCTGAAGAATTATAAAAGTTGCAATGTTTGGTATAAAATGTTTATTCACTTCTAAATTCATTATTAGCAGAGCCAAAATTATTATTATAAGTATTTCAAGAAACTGTATGTGTTTTTATAAAAAATTTCTAATAATTTTCTCTCTTTAATACAAGATTGCTATTAAAATCTTAGATAAGTTATTGCTCTTCTCAAAATCTATTTTTTTAAAACACTATTTTACTGAAGTTATAATATAAAATTTATTTTATTAGCAAGATAGAAATAGGTCTGTATCATTTTACTGAAAATCAAATAATTGATAAGTTTCTTTTACTAACAATTATTTCACTGACAGAGTGTTTTTAAAATTGCACTAGTATTGGTCACTAAAACTTTTTTGGCCAAATT